ACTCTCGCACTCATTTATTATTTTTATACATTTTTATTTTTCCAAGGAACTAAAGGCAGCGTACATTATTCAACTTGTCCTCTCCACCTGATCCTCACAACAACCACCCTGTGAGGTAGGCCAGGCTAAGAGTCTGCAGCTGGCCAAGTGAGTGGCTGAGTCCCGGTCCCATAGTCTTAACCACTGCACCACCCCCTGTAATGACAGCTTGTTAAGCTTGTTACTTTGGAAGGAATTTCCCTTCTCTTTACATAATACCAACAGTGTTGTGCAGTGTTGTGCGCTCGCACTGTTTGTACTACAAGGGCATGGAGGTCAAGCACCACCCCCTTGGAGTTCCCCAGAACCTCTGGGCAGGGTTGCATTCTTCACAGTAGCTGAAGGTGCAGAGGAAAATGAATTTCCCAGCAGAAGTATATTGCTGTGAGCAATACCCGTTCGAACACGGGGCTTTGCAGTGCTTGTCAAGGGGATCTTGAGGCTGTTGCGTCACAGCAGACTTGCTTCTTTCCAGAGTGGGTTTGTTGTTGTTTTTTGAATAAATTGTATTATTATTTTTACAAACTAAAAAAAAAAGAAACTAAAAAACATCAGTCATCAGAAACATCAGACCTGCTGGGTCAGCCCTCCATTTTTTTTAATAGCAATCCGTAAATATATTCAAGTCTACACATAGTCCCATCTCTCTAGCCAGTGATAAAAAGAGTTGATAGAAGTCTGTATTCTCTTTCTCCTTCAGAGACAAAGTCAATCTGTCCATTTCAGCGCAATCCAGAATCATTTTTAAAATCAGTTCGTCAGTGGCTGGTTCTTCACTCCTCCAATGTTGGGCAAATGCAATCCTCGCCGCAGTAATGACATGTAGAATCAAATACATTGCTTGTTTATCAACATCAGGCACAATGCCTACTTAGAAGACTTCGGATTTAAATATTAAAGATTTTTGCAACATTTCCTCAAGCCATATATTTAGCTCATTTTTTTTTTTTTTTGCCTTATCACAAGTCCACCACATATGATAAAAGGTTCCCGGTTCCAGAGCAGGATTGTTTATTTGGGATTCTGCTTGAAGGTGTGGGCAGTGGAGGCTGCCCCATTGAGCAGTGCATTTCAAAGGTAACCGCTCCACTAATGCATGAACTTGGGGAAGAAATCTTGCAACGACATTTTGCACTGGTGTTGGGAGAAACTGATGCGCCTTCTAAGTCAGAAATCCCATCCCTGAACTGGAAGCAGAATTTCTTCACTCTAAGGATAATCATCAAACCAATTTGCAGTCCCCGTTAAGGCTCCTTTCAAACATTACCTCAGAGCATTCTAAAATCTTAAGCCCTTTTGCCTGAATTTCTGGTGTGCTGCAAGCTTGAGGAAGGTTTTTGGATGAGGGATCATGAAACAGTTTCTTGGCAGATCACCAGTCTCTTTAATTCAGGAGGTGAAATCCAGATTTATTGTTATTAGTTCAGGTGGTGGTACTGCAGCCAGGTGAGAGCAGACATTCTATACACAAATCCATGATTATTTTATACACAAATAACCATGGTTTAAATAGAGTTTAAAAAGCAAATTCTAGCCACATTAAACAGTTTTCTTTCCTGCCGCTTTCCTCCCTCTTACCTTGTCCTGATTCGTCTCTGTTGAAATCCCTTCTCATTTGCGATGTATTAAAGCAGTCACCCCCACTTTTCTTTAAAATAATCTAAAGCTGTTTGCAAGGAAGGCAGGGTAAAATGTAACAGTATAAAACACAATTAAGCACTAAATTAAAAAGCAGCTCGCAGCATTAAAAAAGCAAGCAGCACACTGAAAACTGCACAGGCCCAAAGCTAAACAATATGGACAACGTAGCGCAAAGAAGCAGAATCCACAGAAATACTAGCCTCCTTGAGGGTTTACTGGAACTATCCATTTTTAATGTGGCAGTTAAAATAAAGATCAACCAGGTGGACTTCCTTAGGGTGTGCAGGTGCCAACACCAAGGGAGCCCTGCGCACTGTAGTCTGGCAAAGTTCCAACAGAACAGGACCTGGTCCAGAGGCAGCTTGCTGTGGTTTCATGGGAATTAGTAAGCCAACATCCTCTGTATAGGTCATCTTTTTGTGGAAGGAGGTATTCATGAATGTGGGGTTGTGTAAGCTCTTTGGAAAGTTTGTGGTAACTACAAACTGTTATTCTGGCAGCAATGCTAAAATAGTTTTTCCTTTTTTTAAATTAAAGGCTCATGATACCACTGCTGAGCCATTTCCTCACCTGAAATTTTTGAAGGATTCTCTTCTGCCTTGGTTATGGCAAAAGTATAATCGGATGCTGTCACGGTCTGGAGTATAAAGTTCTACTAGGGATTGAATGTTTACCACAGTCTGGGACAAGGCAGGTAACCCAGGAAGGAAGGAAGGAAGGAAGGAAGGAAGGAAGGAAGGAAGGAAGGAAGGAAGGAGGGAATACGATAGCAACACAGGGAACGCCAAGTGATCCAGGGCCAAGATGCCAGACTGACCGGTCCCCGTCTTGCTCCAGCAAGCAGCAGGTCATGCCTGAGCCTTAAGTAGGAGTGTGGCTTCTACCTCCACACTGACTGAGGATGCTTGGCGGCAGTGGAGTGGAGTTGTCTTCATGGCTGGAATAATAGAATCACGGAATGTTGGAGTTGGAAGGAGTGTGGAGTTGTCTTCATGGCTAGAATCGTGGGTCAGTTTCCCAGCATCATCTTTTTGCTGACATCGTAGAGCAAACAGCCTCGGCCATTGGCTATTTTTCAGACGGATTCAGGCCCAGCTCAGTGTTTCTTGCCGCCAGCACCCCTTGTACCCCCCGGCTTGGCTAGTCTGCCTGCCACTGGCACCTGCGCAGCCAGTTGGCCCTGCTGACCTCTCCTCCTATCCACCCTGTCATTTCTGCCTTGTGCCCCAGTTGCAGGGCTGGGCTAGCAGAAGTGGGTGGCCATCCGAGCGAAAGGAGAAGAAGCAGAACCTGTTGGTGCACCTGTCAGGTTGATCCAGAGAGCACCGTGAGTACTCTCTTTGCCATAGCGATGGCACAGTGGGACAGCCACTGGCAGAACTCTCCCATGCATGCGCTGGAGGCCATGGTGGCCCCTCCTGGCCAGGTGAGTGGAGTTATTTCCCACTCTCCTGCTGCCTGAGGCAGGTGGGATCATGGCAGGGCTGGCCCAGGAAGAATTTCCCCAGATTTGCCCAGATCTTCTCAGAAGAGAACTGGAGATTTTAAGCATTTGAATGCAGGAGGAAGGCAAACAGGCCACAAATACTTCCAGGTGTTCCTTCACCCCGAGGTAATAAATGTACAACCTAAGCAGCTTTGGTTGTCTCTGCCTCCACATTTCAACTCAATTCAACCTATCACGGTTCCTGCGTTGGCTTATCTCCAGTGGTAGACCGCAGCAGAGAGATTTCTAGTTCTTAAGAAACATTTGTATTCTTTATTAGGTTCCATAATAAGAACCTAATCGTGTCTAATGGTACTTCAGATACAACTGCTCAGAAATTGAGACATCCAACTATCTATTCAGTAATCAAATATTTAAAAGAAAGCATGGTTGTGTAGTTATAGAGTAGAACAGCCTTCCCCAACTTAGGGACCACCAGGAGTTTTGGGACAACAGCTCCCATCATCCCTGATTGCAGGCCATTTTAGGGATGTGGCTTGTAGTCCAAAGTTTCCGGTTTGGGGAAACTAGTTTGGGGAAGGCTGGAATGGAGTTGTGTGCTGAGTTTCTCCTCCGTCTGCAGCTTTCTACCAGGCACGTAGGCAGAGCTGGCTCATCTCTGCTAATCCATAAGTATCTCCGATCTGATGCGTAATGTGAGAAGTGGTTCTGAGCTCATTTACAGAAAGGTAGGATACTGATGCAGATAAAATATGCAGCTCTGAACTCATGGGTTGACCTACTTGAATGAAGTTATATCCTCTAAAGCAGTATCTGTAGTTCCGTGTTGTGCTCATTTTTCTGAGAGCTGTCAGTATTTTTTTAAAAAGGTGCCATGACCCCTGTTCCTCGCTGGGTTGAATAACTGTCCAAGTATTCTTGATGCTAACTTTTCTTGGAGTAGACCTAAGGTATCACAGCATATGAAACTGGGACTTTAGTAATAAGGTGAGCTTAAAGACCATGAGTTTGAAATTGGTGAGCATCACAGCTTCTGGGAATTGTCGGCTCAGTCTTGGCGAATAGCCATTCTAACTGTCTGTCTCTTGTGACATACAAGAGAGTTTGTGGTTCTTATTCAAACGTTTTGTGTGTGTGTGTGTGTGTGTGTGTGTGTGTTTTAAAAAATGGAAAAAGACCTCCCACCTTATCCCCACCTTTCTGTATTTTGGATATCTTTGATTGCTAGAAAATCAACTTATAGAGTAGTGAAAATGCAAAATATGCAACATTTCTTAGTCTAAAAGTTATGGAACCTAAAATGAGGATTCCCTCAAACACAATGTAAGTTCAAATGTTTCAGTCAGAGAAGAAGAAAAGCTTCAGATTTTGAAATGCATAGTCCAATCCCAGTTTGTCCCTGTATTGTGCTTTGAAGCATAAAATACCAGGATTCCAAATTCAGAATGTTTGTATGTCAAAACTTAGATATCCCTAAGAATTCAGGCTATGGAATAAAAATTCTGAACTTCAGTATTGTAGGTAGAGCAGGATTCCTCATTATGGTGCTCCATCCAGATATGTTGCACTGTGACCTCCTGCCATTCCTAGTCCACACATTAAAGCCCAGTACATCTAAGATCTAGAGAGCCCTGAATTAGCATCCCGTGAAGCACACTGGCTCACCTTGGGTCAGTCACCAGTTTTCATCCTGGGCTGCCCCAGAGGGATAAAAATGGGAAGATGGGTAAGACCATGTACGTTGCCTTGAGCACCTGGAGAAGAGGCAAGGTATGGATGCGATAAATCAAGAAGTGACCTTAGGTGTTAGTGTGCAGATCAGTAGCTGCTGAAATGCTGATGTCTTTTCTTTCTTGCTCTGTGTTCTCTTCAGTTGTGGACCTGAATGCTTCTGAGCTCTTCACAGTGGTTGGACTATTGGGACTCTAAGAGACTCTACTGAGAGCCATCGTTCACTGCCTGGGGTGTCCCCCTTTTTCTTCCCAACGTTCCCCCTCCACCCAAGGAAACCTACCATGGACCGGGGGATTGCCATGGAGCCACGGGAGAACCTGGGCACTTCCCGGCAAAGGGGAGGCGAGACGGATTTCTTGGGATCCGCCATTGCTTCTGCAAAGGCCCCACCTGCTCCTGGTGGTGCGGGAGAGCCTCTGCTGTCCTGCTCGGCCTCTGCAAAAGGAATCCCGGTGAGCGGTGATCGTATGGAGGCCGAAGAAGAGGATGAACTTTGCTCCGGACGAGATGTGGATTCCACTTCCAATGCAGACAGTGAGAAGTGGGTGGCTGGAGATGGTCTGGAGGAACAGGAGTTTTCCATCAAGGAAGCTAACTTCACAGAGGGAAGCCTTAAGTTGAAAATCCAGACGACAAAGAGAGCCAAGAAGCCCCCCAAGAACCTGGAGAACTATATATGCCCACCCGAGATCAAAATCACCATTAAACAGTCCGGGGAGCAAAAACTTTCCAGAGCTGGGAAAAATAGCAAAGCAGCTAAAGAGGAAGACAGACAACACTCCAAGAAGAAGGTAAGCGACCCCTTTTCTCCTCCTTTCTCTCTCTCACAGCTCCTGAGCTTTGCATCGCAATTTGTATGCCTTCCTTCTTGGTGCTCCGCCATTTCCTTAAACTGGGAATATATTTTTATTTATCTAAAATTTAAAATTTTGTCTCCCGCCCTTGACAGTGTCTCAGGGCGGCCCTTTTTCATCTCGGGGTTGCTGAAAGCTCTCCTTGCTGGGTTCCAGGAGCCCACGAGACAATCCGTGCGCCAGAGGGGGTTTTGAAAGCTAAATGCGTTGCAACAGGTGGACAGGATAAGCAGATGGAGGTGGCAAGGGTGGGGGCCTAGCGAGACAACGGGGGGCACCCATTAGCATAAGAAGGCGGAATGGTCGCTGCACACCAGCTGCTTTCCCATTGTTGGGAGCTCCGCGCAAGGGTGTTTGAAAGAGCCGTTTGAAGGGCGATGTAATGGTCCTGTTAGTGCTACGCGGACAGAAATTGCGCCTGTAAACCGGAAGATCACACGCAGTGTGAAGGCCGCTCGGTACCGCTGCGGGTGCTTTTGCTGTACTTTCCTTACTGCTCCGCTTATTTTTGAGCAAGTTCTTCCAGGTTCTGTTGGCAAGGGGGAGAGAAGGATTTCCAGGCGTGAGCATCATTGGGGTGCGTTATTAGCAAGGCCCGGGCTGCATGGTGCTTTCCCGAAAGGTCCAGCCACCCTGGGGGTGGGGAAATGCCCTTTGCAGGTCGCTGCTTCCAGGACTGCTTGAATCCACGGCCCCCCACAGTCCTTTCGGTTTCCAGGGCCTCCATCCGGCATTGGAGATGGAAAGCATCTAACTGAAAGATTCGTGGGAAAAGTCTTTGGAAGCACAAGCATTACACATCCAGCAGGATAATAAATTGTTGGTTTTGGCAGATGGGAAATCATTTGGGAGAGCTGGAAGAACACAGGAGTGAGTTTCAGTCCCTTGGGCTGTAGGTGCCCAGGTGTAGAAAGAAAGTCCATTTCATAGCGACCTTCTCTTGAGAGGATGGAGTACAGTCTGAAGGTGTTTCCTGCAGTGTGTCCACATGATGCATTTTGGGGTGGGGTGAAGACGTTGCATATGACCCTTCCATGAATCACCCAGTGGTGCAAAGCCGGGCAGGAGACCATTTGCAAAGAAGAGCTGCAGCTGCAGCAAGCACCATTTGATGTGGAACATTGGTGTGAAGTTCTGGCATTGCTTCTTTTAGGAGATTTTTTCCCTGTTCTTTCGTGCGGTTCCAGAGTGAGGGTCATTCCTCTTGTAAAATTAAGCCATGCACTGTGGACCACCTCCTCTAGAATCCCCGGTTTTTAACCGGGCACCATTAGAGATACTTCATCCCAAGTGGAAGGATGCATTCTGAATGCCGGGGGCCTTGAAAAAAGTGAGGGAGCCATGCATAAGGGATCAGATGAAATAAATGGCAGCAAGTGATGCATTTCCAATTCTTTATTTCCCATCTGGCAGGGCCTTGGTGGTTCTGTGCCTTTAGCATCCATGAACAGACGGAAATCCACCCGGCATATTCACTGCCCAACAGGGACAGTCCGATGGGAATAGGTGCACCTGTTGAAGGTCGGATTCCAGGAACTAGAGGTGGTAGCCTTCAGGGATGCCCTGAGACTGGGTCTGTAAGTAAGACTAGCCAAATTCCAGGCCTCGGGTGAATTAGTTACCTTCAAGTTTACTCTTGGTGCCTGGGAATGTGTCAGTTCTGCCTTCCCATGCTAGTCCAGAACCCCCAAAATTCCTGCACAGCCTTAAAAGTTTGATGCTGTTTTCCTGGGGAATCAGCAGCATTTTAACCAGCCTGCCTAAAAAAAAAAAAAAAAGCGCATTATTTTCCTCTAAGCTAGCTAAGGAAGTAGTTCTTTGAGATGAAGTTGTGTGTTGCTAAGAATACGTCTTGTGTTGATCGAAATAGTGGGTATACGGAATAGCACAAGGTATTTGTTCATCTGGATATAAGCATCCAGATGCCTTGGAGCATTGTATCTTTCCAAATTAGAGGCTTTTCTGTGTACTTTAAGATCATGCTCTATATTTAAACACCCTCCCAGTAGAGTTTCCCCTCTTTAAAACCTGCTTCATCCCTCAAAGTATGACTGCCTCTCATTAGGCCCATGTATCGCACTCAGTGCTAAAAAGCGTGGGGGGCGTTGGTTTTATTTTAACCCCCCTTTTTTTTACTAAAGAGGTACAATTCAATTTTCTGTATTGATTTATAGCTGTGGCGCGTGACTTTGGAGTTCCTGGGTCTGAACAGTGATCACCAAACCAACTGTGTTTTAATAACCTCTCATCTATATTTTTATGAGAGACCTCCTGTAAAAACAAACAGTAAGCACAGCTGGCCTAGCCTTTCTTATAACCTTTCCGAGACATTTTCCTCTGTATAGGATTTCCAGGGCCCTGAACATTCAGAGTTATAATTTGCAAACTGCCCATGTAATGTTCACTGAGGACATAATGGGCTTCCACAAGCAAGCCGCTGTTCGCATAGGTATCCTCTCCACGCTTTTGCAGTTGCAACTTTTCTAGTCCTCAGTTCCAGTGGTAAAACTGGTACCTAAAATCTGGAAACATAAAACAGCATTAATATATGCAGCTGGCAAAACCACCTTGTACAGTCCGGTTTCCAACCAGACTCAATCCGAGAGGTCAAACGAAGTAGGTACAGTGAAAGAATGCTAGTATAAGCAACAAGTTTTAAGCAACAGCAGAACGAGGTTAAAATAATAAAATGTGCTTTTAGGAGACGAGACTTCTAAAATGCATTCATTTAATTTAGAAATTTTATATTGCACTTTTATTGTCCCCCATATCCAAACAAAAATCACTCATGGTCTGGTACAGGAATAGAAATTGCATGAGTTCCATATAAAACCCGGATATTTTTCCCCAGTGTTGTTCTTCTTAGATGCCAGATCAGCACTTCCACTTTTTACCCAAATCCCACCACCATCTTTTCTCCCAGTTGGCATCTTCAAGCTTTATTTCCAGTTTCTCCTGAGTATGAGGAGGGGGTTAAGATCTCAATGTTTTTCTAGGTCAGTGGATTTCTTTTCTCTTTTACTTTCAGAGTCCACTTACATGGAATACTATTTCGCCAACTTTGTGTTCTCCAAATCCCATCGCAACTTCCAGGTTGGGGAAGGATGAATGGTTCATTGACTGAGTCAACTGAGTCTGTTAGATAATCTGTGTGCCAGGTCCTGTTTCATATTTCTGTCTGTCTGTCTGTCTGTCCACTCTAGGTCACTACTCTTGAGGACTCCTCTTTCATTATCTTCCTTGCCTGTCATCCGTACCTTCTGTTGCCAGCTTCTCTTTCATCAGCTATAGCTATATGTAAGGATTACGCTTTCCAGGATTTCTTACCTGTGGGCCCTTTTTGATGGGAAACAGCCAGAAATCTTTTCCATGTTCAACTGCCTGGTCAATTGAATTGTAGAATCAAATAATAATAGAATTGGAAGGGGCCAAAAAGGCTTTCGGGTCCAATCCTCTGCTCTCTCTTAAGTAAAAGCACCAGAACAAAGGTAATTATATTGAAACCATATTCCAGAGGAATAGAGGAGGCAGCATCTAGTGTTTTGAAAAGAAGCAGGTAGTTACTGAATCAGGATTATTCTGTCAACATTCACTCATGGTTGCGCTTGTGTTGATTCTTTCTTATTCTTTCTAACTTACCTGGAACTCTTGTATCTTAAATGTTCTTGGAAACTTGCTCCTCTTGAGTAGGTAATCCTTCCTTTGGGTTAGAGATAAGCTCATGCATTAGATGGATGCTTCTGTGTATGTGTGTGTCCATCCGGACAAATCAGTGACAACATCACATCATTTATCACGCCACCTGGACTTTGGTCCATGAAAACTTTCAAGTGAAGGAGGGAAGACCTCAGCAGTTTTAACTGAGTTACTAGATCATTAGATGACTTATTAGTGTTTGACCCTGCAGTGGGTTCTCAAGGTGCTAGGATGGCAAAGGTAAGAACAGGCTCTGAGCTGAAATCTGTCTCATTGGCTATGTCTTGTCTCAATTCTGATGATAAACACAGGAAGGAGCTCCCTCCACTGTGCTTGGGAATGGCTCTAGTTGAGAGGCCTCTGGGTACCCACCAATTTTGAAGGTTTCAGAGGACAAGAAGAAACAGTCCTTTTGGCATTCCAAGATGGCGCCATGACTGTTAAAGTTAACTCCATGACTGGGAACTGCCAGAGCAACCTCCAGGGGACTCCAGAGGATAAATGTGGTATTGCTCCCACCAAACCGCAAGCCCTCTTGGCTCACACCTGAGCAGGGTTTGTGCCTCAGTAGTGGAGCATGCAGAAGATCCCAGCTTGGTCACCAGCTTCTCCAAGTAGGGTTGGGAAGAACCTTGCCTAAAGTTCTGGAGAACTTTTCCCAGTCAGGGCCATCAGTATTGGGGTTGATGGGACACTGCCGAGTCAACGTAAGGCATTGTGACCACAAGGGAAGAAGGGGAGGTGGTTTTTTTCATTGGGCCTTCTGTGGAGGACCACCAGCATACCATTAGAAAGCCCGCCAGCTAACAAAACCGGGGGGTGGGGTCCAGATTGCATTCCAAGGACCTGGAATGCCTGCTTTCTCCTTTTTTCTTCCAGTCATGCCTTTGAGTTTTCAAACAGAGACTGTCCTATTTCTGACCTTTCTAGGCTGCTCTGGGACTCTGTTCGGCTGAAGTACGGGATAAAAATCCTACAAATAAATAGTAAATCAAGGTGATAGAAACTAACATTGTACATTAAGTCAAAGGACTTTTAAAACTTGTTGCCCATTTTTGGTATGAACTGCCCAGTGAACTTACAGATCTGCAGTTGCCAATGGCATGCCAAAAATAAATAAATAACTGGAAAGTCTGATTGCACCCATGGGAAATACCAGGATTATGTCAGATCTCGTAGCTCTATAAATTAAATTACGGATTATGGAATCTGTGTATTTTGTTGTTGTCTAGTTTTCACTT